GCTTGTCTGCCAAGCCCCACCCTGTCTCAAGCTACTCACACGTAAGCATGTCCCTATTTTCATCTATGAAGTGTTGGTAGGTATAAAGCTTGGAGTTTAATTAAAGCTGTTAGCTCAGATTAGGAAATGTGATAAGTGGAAACACATTTCACTTTCTGCATCTTCAACCATATGGCCAAGAGAGATGGTCACCATTGTTCATATGTTGGGGAGCTTATCTTTGCAGCAGGGATCAATGCTATTACAAGAATCTTGACAGTTTCTTGGTGCATTTTTAGCTCTTTGCAGTCGAATAATTGTTTTAAAGGCCATTATTTTTTATAAGCAAACAAATATGATTTTATTGTTCAACACCCTTAGAATTCCCATGGTAAGAACTTCAGGAACATGTGGAAAATGCACAGGCATTTGAAAATAGTGGAAAGGACAAATGACATTTCTCAGAATGATCTTTTGCCCTTTCTCTGTGCAATCATGTGCTGCCTTCTCAGAATGTCCTCTTTGAACCCCAGTTCTCTGCATGACTTCAATGCTGCTAATATCCAGCAAACTAACTGACCTGGACTTGAGCTGTCATTTCACCTTTGCTGGCAAATGACGGCATTTCTTGTGAACTCAGGAACCTTCTTTATTGTCTTCTTTCTTTTTGAAAGTCACTACAAAGATAAGTTTTCCCCTTTGGAAGCATTTCTAGGATACTATAGCTACGAAAAGAAAAAGGAAAATAAAAGAAGGCTCCATATTTGTACTTCCAATCATATAAACCTCTTCCCCTACACACATACACTCACAGATTGCATCTCTAAATGACAAAATTGACTATGTAAATAACATATGATTTAGAAGCTTGTAATTATATACAAAATTATAGGAGCAAATTACTAGGAGACAAACCTTTTAGCTTAGCTGGAGGTTACGGGAGGCCTTCATGGAACATGAGTTAACTAGGAGGTTTATTACTGATGATAAAGAAACACATGGTAGAAATCCTCCTATCAGACCTTTGCACTAATTTAAAGTATATGTCAAAGCCCAGGAGGGGGAGAGGCCTGCAAGGACCTGGGAAATTTGGGTGATAAATGTTATTTTGATTAAGACATCCAAGTGCGGGGGGGGGGGGGCAGGAAGACCTGACATATAAAGGCCATTTAGCATGGCTAAGAAAGCCCTTTGAGAACTCTCCACTCCACTTTCTTACAAAACAGCCTTGCTTAGCATCAAACAAAGTCTTTCCAGACAATGAATGACAGTATATTGGTTAGCTGGTTATTTAGCAAGATGCACAAATAGACACGCTCATCACAGTCTTTTTACAAGCTTGAATTATCCCTCCTGTTTACTTTTGTTCTGAAGTAGTCCATCTTTGAAGGATTGGCTCTCGGGTACCATGTGTCTAACAAGCCCAATATGTGTCAATAAGATCCCACTGCTTAGTATTTACCATATGTTTTCTAATGCTCCGAGTGTATCTCTTAGGTGTATGCAGACCAAAACCAGTATGAATCCAAAGCCTGTGAGTGGTAGCTTCCTTCATTTATTCCTGTGAGCTAGCTTTCTGCACTGAATAGAATTTGGAGGATGAAGAAAATGATAGCTATGAGGAAATATGTACATTATTTAGTAGTCATCATTAAGTACTATTTAAGTTATAAGGCAATAACCTGTTGTGCTGGAGCACGCTTGTGCAATGTGGCTTCTGTGCTTCAAAAAGTAAAAAGCTCATTTTCAGAATGGGTCAGGTAAATGGAACTTGCAGAATGGAACTCTGCTAAGCTGTCCTGATCTGGAAACAAGCATTTCAGCTTTTTCCCAGAGTTATTTTTAGAAGCATATAAGCAGCTCCATTGGATACTGCTGAAGTAGACCTGCAACCCAGTGTTGCAGAGCCTGGAATGCTCACGTTCACTGTCCCAGTAAGCCGTCGTGCAGGATGTGCCATTCTACTCCCTTACTGTCTATTTTGGGGTGGGGGTGTTTCTCCCAAATATCAGTCAGCTTTCCATAGTTACTGAATAGTGTAGTCCTCACTGGTATTTCTGCTAATCTCAGGATTGCCCAGAGCCTCTTTGCTGAAAGAGGTATCATTTTGCTACCTGCTATTCGAAGAACTGAGATGGTTATTAGCTTTATTATATTTTCTATTATTCTGTTGTTTTATATCATAATTTCAGATTCAAGATTTTTCCCCTTAAGATTCCTTTTTTTTTCTTAAAAAAGGGACAAAAATACAGTCTAGTTAAAAATACATTTTAACATTATGCCAAGCACGAATGGTTGTGCTTTTACCACACATGCTATTGGAAATAAACATGAAATTGCTTTTGTTCACAGTCCTCCACTACCCTCTAGTGTCTAGTATTTTGTACTCCCCATTTTAGCAATCTGGTGTTATTTGTGGATGCAGAATCTTTCTGGTGCTTAAGATGCACATTTCCTGGTATAATTCAAAATACTCTCTTGCCATTTTTTATCATTGATGCATCCCCAAGGACCCTGGTTGCTGAAGGGCCACACATTCCTGTATAAATGTGCTCATTTACTGAGATCTGTAAGCAAGATATTGATGCAGCTTCCTTCTCCTGGTGAGGTACAATCAGGTGCAGGGCCTTCTCCCTTTGAGAACCCAGCAAGTGTAGGTTCTGCCAGGTAGTGGTCATATTCCAACACTATACATTTCAGCTGTGGCTGAAAATGGTTCTGTCTATTCAAATTTCTGTGTTTGTCGTATGTGCTGCTGTTTTTTTATGGCTATTTAGGGTGCCGTTCAAGTCAGCCACCCATAAATCTCAGGGGATTACAGGATTCTAAGAAGAGTGGAAGTAGTGCAGAGGTCATCTCCATGCTCCTTCCACCCTGCAAAATCCTTAGATGGTCAGTTTCACCAGTGCAGTTATTTCTCTACCAGCGACAGTGTCTGTGTGAGGGGTGCTTCAAGCTCAGAGACCCACCTACAAGGTCAGAGCATGTTTCCAACCCTGTAGTTCAGTCTCCAAAACCTCTTAAGGCTGTCTAAATTCCTTCTTGCCAATTAATTATTGTGATATGTCAGGGTGTCTGTTTTGTCACCGTTTCTGACTGGACACCGTTAATAATGCAGCAGTCACTCTCTGCATTACATTTCCCTCTGTCCCCATTAATGATTAGCCACCACTCCAAAGCATGCACGCGCACACACACTTTTCATGCATCCAAGGGGGTCATCTTACATACCCTTGGACAGAAAAAGTGCGTACAGTTCCCAGACTTTCCAGCCTGCTGTGCTGGGGAGTTGTGCAACATTTTTCTATAGAAATATGCATAGGATTATGACCCAGAATCGTTGGCTATAGTCCATAAAAGTTTATGCCATAATAAACTTGTTCGTCCTTTAGATAGCCCAAGTCTCTGTGTTGTTTTTATTACAACAGCCTAACATGTTGAACCCTCTGCAATAGGGTGACTGAAATGGTTCTCGGTTTTGTTTTAAGCTGCTGTGGAAGGGCAAGATACAAGTTTAAATAGTTCTGACTATCAGGTTAGGATGCTGCATTAAGAACTTCACAATACTTTCTTTTCAAAACCAATTTTAAGCTGAATAGGCTTGGAACAGTGGTGTCTACATTTCTTATGGAACAGGAACGAATTCAGTACCATGTTCAAATCACCTTAAAGCTGTGTCTTGTTTACTGTTTGACTTCTCTTGCCTACAAGAGCTGTGTAGTTCAGTAATAGCCTCATTTCCTATTCAGGGTTATTGTTGGGTAGAATATGCCATCTAAGCTAAAACTTTGTTTTGAATTGTTCAGCCACACACTATTACCCATGAAAGGAAGGTGGCAGTGTGGCACTACTTAGCTCAACAGCAGAACTATTTTTATGACAAGCAAAGCACACATTCAAAAGTTTAATATTTTCAATAGCTCTGCCTTTTAATCTACTTATAAACAAGAGAGAGGAAAACATTACGATGCAAGGATAAACATCTACATGTGATCTACTTTAAAGAAGAAAACAAAAGTTTTTTGCTGGATTCATCTGGTCAATATATCATTGCATGATGGCCTCTTGCATGCATGTTTTTTCACCTTGACTAAATAGCAGCTGTGAGATGAGTGCTAGACAGGTCCAGACCACGGCAGAGGCAAAGGGTCCAAGCTCCTCTCAATCCAAACCACAATCCTGGTCAAGAAGACTCCTCCAACTCTCAGCCGCTCTTCAGTAATGAAAAAGTTAGCCTAGGAGAGCTAACTATGTGATCAACAGCACACCTGGATTGGACTGACGCACCAATGAAATTTTGGGCAATAGTATATGTTACTCACAAATCCTTAAGGGCCTGCTAGTCACACTGTATACAAGAAGTGTTCACTCCTGGCAACATCCATGTGAAATAAATGTAATACACATTAGACCAGGCACTATAGGTCTGTTTCTACTCCTGTGAGAGTGGCACCACTTTGAAAGTACCAAGTCTCACTTCCAATGGGGCTACAGCTAGAATTCCAGCACTGTTGCATGTCTTTATGAAATGCTGAATTAACCAGTCTTTTTAAAAGAAGAAAAGAAAAATCAAAGCAGATACCTGAATGTGTGTTCAGTTTTCTGCTAGAAGTGAAAAAGGGGGTTATACAAAGAGAGAGGAACACCAACTAAGTAGCTTCGCTTTAAGTTGTTCAAACAACAACCACATTAGAAAAAACTACACATTCAGTGTAAGGGGTGTATCCTAGTGAAAATGCCATCATCTGTATAATTATAATACCCGTCAAAGCAAATATTGTATTAGTGCACTGAACTGAAAAAATGGCCTAATTCACAAATAAGTTTCAAGTGTTTGTTTCTGGTACTCTTACATATTAAGCAGAACTTTGGAGAACAGTACCTATATCATTTTCAATTAGCAATATAAGAGTTTTCCTAATTATCTTCTCTTGTGACCAATTTCAGAAAAAAGTTGAATGGTATGAATATGAATGTATTGAGGCCTGCCAAACCCAATCATTTCTTTTTCCCATTTGCAGTGGGAAAAACTACAGATGACAACAAGTGAGCGGAGAAAGATAGTCTGCTCAGTCACATTCCACATTATTGCCATTACCTGTGTAGTTTGGTCATTGTATGTATTAATAGACCGGACGGCTGAGGAAATTAAGCAAGGCAATGACAATGGTGAGTGCATTTATCATTTTCTTCTTTGCCACTCTTTTAGACACTCTAAGTTCTAGAGTTAGTTGTTCCCAGCAGGCCAGTGCAAGTATATGGACTAGTAAGGATGCAAATGTGAGCTTGAGTGGACTCCGGGGGAAGGTGGAGGACAGGAAGGCCTGAGGAATGTTGTCCATGGGGTCGCGATGGGTCGGACACGACTTCGCGACTAACAGCAACAACAAGGATGCAAAAACAAAGCAGGCTTGAGTGGGAGGCTTTAGCTTTATTTTCTTTCCTGTGAAGTAAATATGGGGATCCTATGCTGTCTTCCATATGGTCATGCTGCCTTTCCTCCTCAGTAACACTAATCATTGGGTGATAACTCAGTTTTTGCATCATTTGCCCCTTTTTGAAAGGGTGAAACACTTCTCCTAAAGGTTAGTTTAAGCTTTAAGCTTAAATAGGCTGAAATTCCTTTGCCCCTTTGGTTCTGCCCACTGCTGGAATGCACCCTGGGAAGCTACTTCTTGGGCACAGCTATAGGACCCCCCCGCCCCCAGTGTGCATACGGAATCATAGCATGAGTAGATTTGGAAGGGGCCACTGGGTCCAATCCCCTGCTCAGTGCAGGACTCCAAGTCAATCTATCCCTCTCAGATGGCTGTCCATGTGAGGCAGGCTTCTCTATGTACCCTGGGCTCATGCCATCTTTCTTGTACAGAATTCAGCATGTTGAGAATCTCTGGTCTTCCTTCCCTAAAAGCATATTTAAAGCCCTTAAGGCCCCAAGCAACAGGTGAGGTTTCCAGGGGACATGCTAGATTGCCCTTTATTGCTTTTACTGCAACTGGCAGAAATAAAATTATGAAAAATAAGCCATGTTATGTTATATAACTGTCAACATATCAGTACAAATTCTAACAAGGGGCCTACACAGGGAAAGATGGATCTAGCGAGTCTGTGTCCAGATGACATAGATGATGACAAAAACAGATGACTGAGATTATGTGCATGTCATCCCTCATTTTATTAAACACCACAGTACAATCTTCAGAAGTGAATTTCATTGAAGTCAATAGGGCATTACCCAGATATAGCATTGCAGCCTTAAAATAGAGCATCACCAAGCTATTGTTCTGACCTGCAGTTTTCAGTATTTTTTCCTTTAATAAATTATGTATGTATTCCTTATTTTTAAAAATTGTAACACTTTCTGAGGCCAAAAAGAAAAAAAAAGGATTTTTACTTGTCTTTCATATCCTCATCTACCAGTAAAACAGCTCTTGTGAAAGTCTAAATTGTGTAGAAAAAAGGAAAAAGCATGTGATTGTATACTTTGTGGTATGTTAAGAGGTAAATGTCTTATTCTCAGAGGCATTTGTAACTGCCTTTATAATTTATATTCTGAGAGAAATAAGAATTCTTGTAATGCGTAACTCATTCAGAAGAATTCTCTCCTGGATAAGTGCAGGGGGCAATTATCTTCACCCACTCCAAACATAAAGAAATGTTTAAAAAGTAAACAAGTGACTTAAAGCACTTTTTGAAAGTAAATACGTGACTTAAAGCACAGTCTCTTTAGTTCCAGTGACATCAGTGAGACCAACGATCAATTGCAAATTAGGATATAGACATGGGATAATCCCCTACTTCCCTAACTGGATCTGTGTGGCAGTGTTATTCTCTCCACCCACAATCTCAGGGCACCAAATCTTTTCAAATTGTCAGGAAACTAAACTGCATGGATGAGCCATTAATGTTAATTACTACTCAATGCATGCAAATCCTTTGCTGAAAGAGGGCTGCATGCGATACTGGCCCAGAGACCACATGCATGCACAAATGTGTTTGGAAGCAGGAATACACATAACCACATTCACCACTAGTAGCAGGAGGGGAAGCAGCCCTCCCATAGATTTCTCCTTCCAGTGAAGAAAGCTAGTCTGTATCAAGATTACTTGGGAAGCAGATTCAATAGAAGCAGGGGTAGTAGTCCTTGCCAGCTGCATGCAGTTCCCAGCCCACAGGTTATAACCCCCTTGTTTAATGCGATAGTAAATCAACAAAAAATGTTCTACAAACGAACTAGTGTATTACACACTGATTTGTGCATTTAAGTAATTACATTACTTGTCCCAACTTTTCTACATAAATGGACACAATAAGCATCCAATAAGCTCAGTTGAGCCTTTACATTTACATGGGTTGGACTGAACAATTTCTTTCTAAGTTACATGATACAATGAATTATAATGGCTATAAAGAAAATGTTAATTCACTATCTCTGTTAATAGTTGGTCTCTAGTAAAGTATAGTTTTCATCAAAAATGTGCTTTTCTTTTCTCCTTAATGGCTCCATAGTTCAAGGAGAAGTTGTACAGTTCCTCAGAGATGTCAGAAGCAAAGTTCATGTCTACAAACATGTCAAAATGTAGTCAAGCTTAGGATCACCATAGCATTTTTGAGGCATGTGTGTCTTCAGACCTCCCATTCAGTACTGAAACTATAAGATCCCATAGCTCAGGGATGTGCCACAGTAACAAATATTTTGCACCTTCACTCCGTTGACTATCTTGTGTACATCAAGTGGTAACAATGCCAATCAAATCCATGTTAGTTCTACATCATACAACCCTAACATAATAAAATGTGGAAAAGTCAAAGTAGCAAATCATTGTATCTTGCCTACACTTGACATATGGGTTGAATAATTGTAGTATTCTTAGCACAAGAGAGATGAGAATTTAATGGTTAATCCTCTTTCCCTCAAGACAGTTGGCATGAAATCCATCAATTGAAACACATGCATGAGTGTATGCACAGGAAATGATGTAATTCACAATATATTAAAGAGGGATTCACTTCGATTACTTGTATTCTTTTACTGTTTTTAAACACAAAGCTATGTAACAATTCAAGGAAGAAGAAGAGGGAGGCAAGCCAAGCCAAGGAAACATCATTAAATTGATTTTTCTATTTTAGAAAATCCAGTCAAGCCAGACTTGCCAGTGACTTGTCCAAAATATGTCCAAGTTCATACAAGATGATAACTCACCAGGCAATAAGCCACAGTGGGTTGGTTGTTTCATGACCAACAGACAACTGGGTTCATTTTGGATATGTTGCTTACCCCCTCCTCCTTTCCCCCTTTCCTCTAGGCAGTATCCCAGGAGACAGTGCAAGGAGGAACAAGTCTCCTAACCTCAGCTAATTGTCAGACTATTCCTGTTGGACAAGCAAGACCTAAAGCACAATGGGGCCAGCTTCCAGCATTCCTAGGGCAAGATGCCAGGGCCTCCAAAGAAAAATAATCTTTGTCTTTATAGTGCAAAAAGGGCTCAGTCCCTGAAGTTCTTACTCCATCTGGTGCAGGAGGAAAGGATGTCCACTCCACTTGTACCCTTCAAGGATCATGAGTTCTTTTCTGCCCAAGAGGTCCATGCTTGGGCAGGAGGCTGGAGTGCCTAATCTACATGGTGTGGGGGGAGCAGAACCAAGTGAACCTCCAGTTCCTGCTTGAGAGATCTATCACCTAACCAAGTATGAGGCAGCACTGCAGAGTAGATCCCCATAGTTGCTGGAGAGCTCAACTCTTGAGTCACTAGCAAGGATATCTTGTCTTCTTTGTCAAGGGAGTTTGCACCTTTAGCCACTGGCAAGGATGTCCACTCCATGTCAGCATTGGCTGTTCAAACTTATACATGGTGGGTCATGTTTGGATGAGTTTGGATGATAAGATCATGCAATGGTGGTGACAACAGCCCTAAAACACCCCATGGGTTCTTATGAGGAGTTACTGGGAAAAAAACCAACCCAGCCTGTCTGACCTGGGCTGCATTTGCATGGGTTGTGGTGTCATCCAAACCAGATGTATGATGGTCATTTTATTGGATGGTCACTATCACTTAAAATACATTTACAAAAAAGCACAGGTGTCCTACCCTGCAAAGCAATTGCTTATGTATATCAGTTGGCCTAGCCTGCTGATCTAGTATTACCTCTGGGAGAACCCTGGAACTTAAATGTTGCTGAGCAGATGGCTCAGTTTTAATGCCTGTAGTTTTCCATGTGAATCAACCCTTTTAAGTTTTTCTGCCTTAACTAAGGTTTACTACTCAAATCCAGTTTTACATTATTTGTGATACTAAACAGATAATCAGTTGCTTCACATCAAAGTGCAAGCTTATCTCTAAGTTGTAGTACTTAGGTAGAAAGATTTGAGAATTTAGTCACAATAATCATATGTCACAACTGTAAGTTGTTGAAAATGGAACCTGTTCTGGTTAATAGGTGGTATACTGGATGGATGGATGGATGGATGGATGGATGGATGGAAGCAGGAAAGCAAGCTTGCTTTCTTGCTTTTGTTTTTCTACATCTGGACAGACCAAAATAAGTTGGGGACATTCTGTCCATAGATTTTTCATCGTAACATCCAAACCCAGAATTTGGATGGACTGATGTAACCCAGAGTTAGATTCTAAGAACATATTCTGTCTTTTCACAAGTTCCCACAATTTCAGGATCAGACATCACTCTAAACAGCTAAAGACAGAGCTTCCCTTGCTTGTTCAATTGGAGAGAGCAGGAGGCATGGAGCCAATATGCTCATCTACTTCTACTCACCATGATTTAAACAAATGTTTGATAGCCATGATGTACAAACTGGGGTTTGTAATCCATCTTTAAGCATGCTCAAGAAACAGCAACTATCCAGGGAAAAATGTCAATGATACTAACTCTCCTCCCCCTTTTTCTTTAAATTTGAAAAGGTGTCCTGGAGTGGCCATTTTGGACAAAATTGGTTGTGGTGGCCATTGGGTTTACTGGAGGCCTCGTCTTCATGTACGTACAATGTAAAGTCTACATTCAGTTGTGGAGAAGGTTGAAAGCTTATAATCGAGTGATATTTGTTCAAAATTGCCCAGACACTGCCAAAAAACTAGAGGAAAAAAATTCTTCCTTTATTCAGAACACTGAGATCAAAGACACTGTAGTAGTGCCAGTATCACAGACAAGTACAAACTCTCAGCAATCAGGAGAAGAAACTGTTTCTGATGTCATGCCGGTTTGATGGAAGTGGCATTTCTTTTTCTTCATGAGAGAACAAAGTGATGTGTTTTCTAGAATTCAGCCACATTAAAATGGCAGAACTGCTAAGTATATTTGAATGAAGAGCAAACAGGAAAACAAGATCAAGAGGAAGTTGCACATTACCTCTGGAATGTAACTGTGAAACAGGTTTTCACTTTTCTTCTAAGCATTATCAAAAGTGGAAAAGAAGAAAAGACAGATTTCAACTCCTAACAGGCAAAAAAAGGCAGCACCACTGTTGATGGCTGAAATGAACTGCAGTTGCAGATATACTACTGGTGTTCTGTTTACAAGGACAAAACCCTCCTATGTATTTGCTACTATGGTGTTTTTGCTAATTATCACAATTGGGGGAGGGGGGTAAAGCTGCAAAGCAAAATTTTAAAGATTCATATTAACCCTTCAAATCATGTAAAATATATGCATCAAAGCACAAATTGACTAAGCCTCATAATGTGATAACTGAAGATCAAGTTGGCTAACCCATAGAATCTATGGTCTGGAAGATATGAAAACCTTTCCAAAAGTAATAATTTCAAACATATGTTTAAATTCCAAGTATTTGTAAATTAGATAGTTGGAAATATTTTCCTTGGTCTGCAATAGCTACAGATGATCATTTCCCCCGAGGTTTCCTTGCAGGTTATTAGATTTATCTGGGCTGTTGCTTATTCTTAAAAGCAGAATAAAGTAAAGAAATAAAATTGACAGAATATACCTGGCAGCACTAACGTTATTCTGCTAAAGGGTAATAGATTTTATAATCAGAGGAATTATAAACCAGAGAAGTATCTTGGTTCAATGCAAAAGACTTTGAAGCTTTTTCAATATTTATTAGTGTGTGAAATATGCAAAGAGTCGAAGATTGAAATATAGTATTTTCTTTCAAGAGGTCTGGATAGAGCAAACTCAGCAACTGTTAGGATAGTCTTGAGAGTCAGTGTAAGCAGTATTACCATTACCTTTCCAATGTTCACTTGAATTGACAAGATACATGCAGTATCGTTGATATAAGAGATGGCTATATGATTAAGGGTTCAATAGTTCCACTGTTACTATTGTGGTTTTAGCATATTGATGTAAAACTGGAGTGTGACTAAATTAAAAAATGCAGAAGATAAATATCACTATAATAGGGTACCTGGCAGGAATAACTTACGTGAAAAAGATCGTTAGTGTCCCATTTCTGAAGTATGTACCTCAGAAGGCTAAATAATTGGGTACTTTAAAAAGAAAGAAGTCTCTTCTTTATACCACTGTTATGCTTGTTGAATGTATTGTGAATTGTGCCCAAGTAATGTGATTATACAAGAACAGTGTGACCAGTGATGAGGGAAGCATATGATGGTGAACTGTGGTGGATTAAGTCATTTTAACAATGAACTACATGACATGCTTCAGATTTTAAAACTACGGCAAGTTGTTGATCCCAAAAAGACTCAGTAGGTGTATGTGAAAGATCTGTCTAGACACTGCAAGAAACAGGAAGCCTTGTTAAAATTAATGGACATTTCTCCACTGATTTCAGTAGGTGATAACATGTATTGTCATATAGGAACCATGGCTTGGTTGAAAATACATTAGTCATGCAATTAATGGCATACATAATGATAGATTTAGCAAGAATGGTGGGGGGGTCTTCCTTGAGTAAAAAATGCATAACATGAACTGTGAATGCTATTTTTCACATAAATGGAGAAATGCCTTTTAACATTAAAACGATTAAGTTTAAGTTGCTTTTACATGCCCTTTGTGAGGTTTAGAAAACTACATGGTTTAACCAAGGTTGCTGGACAGATTTAACAAAAAATAGAGGATCAAAATTTGAAATTAATTCCAAACTGGTTTGTTTACATCCTTCTCACTAAGAGACACAAATCTGGATGGAGTCTAATTATAATTTCAAGTGATAGGGGTTTTTTCTGCCTATCTGTAGATGAATGACAGTGCCATTGATTTGTATAAACAGCTGACTGCTATGGCATAAACAGCTTAAAAGTTAAGGTAAATATAACAGGTTGCAAAATAGAGGACAACAATAAAATGTAAATTGCCTAATATATTCCAATAATATAGCTGTGGATTCAGACAGTTTTCCAAATTGTAATTTTTCTAGTTGCCACACAAGGGAGCCCATATATAACACAACTGTATAAAGAAGTCCAACATGTTTTCAGTTCTCTTAAGAAATCTGACGTGCTCTGATGCCAATTAAGTACTGGTTTCAAGGGAGACCTCGGCATGCCTTCAAACCAACATGTATTGGGAAAAGAGCGATCATCCCAAGATAAGAGTCAAAGGAAGTTTACAACATAATCATGCCATTCCCCCATTTTCAAGACCAGTGGTATTTTTGGCTTCATTCCTGAGATGCTAAAAAGCACACTGTCTGAAACAATACAGGTAGAAGGAATCGTTCTCATTTAGAAACGAAAATGCTAGTGTACCTGTCTTTATACTGCCTGTTCCTAATTACCTACAATAAGAGATACCAGAAACTATATTAAAGCAATTGTTTACATGGTGGAATAAAATTCCTCTCAAAAAGCAAAGATAATGAAAATTTAACAGAAAAATACTGTAAAATGCCAAAACAGTTTTCCTCAACAACTTTCTTTGGGGCTGTCAAAGGTGTCCCCTTCTGGATTAATTTGTTAACTTTATAAGCATAACTAGCAGTCTACTGGTGCTATTGGTACAGCTGGAAAGCCGTAAATAGTGTGGCTCCAAAACAACAGTACATGCATTCATCACCAAAATTAACTGTCAAATTTTGAACTTTGCACTGCAATGCAATCTCTGATGCAAATATTTTACTGTGTATAATTGTTTGACCTATGAATTTGTTACTTGTTTTACCCAGTTCTCTTTTGCAAAAGAGCTTAGATGCTTTTGTGGGTGACTTGTGTATTAAAAGGTATTCGGGATGGGGGAAAACATAATATAACTACTAATTGTTGTGGAACAAATTTGTATTTGTATTAAACAGATGCTTAAAAGATAGCTGTAAGTTATTGCTTCTAGAGTGCAATGGATGTTGATTGCCTACTTAGGCTTCCTAAAGAAAGTTGCAAAATGTCACTACATTCTTCATATATAATTACCTTATTCTGTATATGTTTAAAATTATCCAGCAGCAGCTTTTGCAATACATTGTGTTAAGCTTAGCTTCAACACAATGTACAGAAGAATTTTACATTTGCATCTGTCCTAACAGCTTCTGTCAAATTATTTTCTCTATGAAATTATTTGCCTTTGCTGGCAAAAAAGAGACTTGCACCCTCCTCTCCTCCTCCTCTTGAGCATCAACTTCAACATGTTGATACTAGTCCTGAAATAAGTTTACTATATTTTAATGTCATATTACTAACCAGAATCAAATCATGGTTTATGAATCTGATTAGTAAACCAACATTAAATTACAGTTACCCATCTTGTATATAACTGGAAACCTTAGAGAGACTTGTATCAAAACAGAAGGCATTGTACAGGGGGGGTGGGGGGTGGGCAGGGATGAACACACAGGTCTCAAATTTGTTCTGATCTGAATAGTGTACTTTTAAAAAGGGAATTATCATATCCAAATTGGCCCATTGGTATGTTCACTGAAACCTAAACTCATGTACAAAAAATCTTGCTTGTCTTTGAACCATTCATCCTTTCAGTAGTAACATGTAACTGACAACACTTGACTATTGGTGCAAATGAAGTACACAAGCCATACTTAAAAACAAATTTACTAACACAAACTTATTGTCAACAAAACCAAAATTCAAGAAGGAAGTGTGCTTAAGCACACTGTTAAATCACACTGTACTCAATATAGTATAACTAAGTTTTCCTTCAGGACTTTAAAAGTATAACCCCAGAACTTGTGTATGTATGTACGCATAAAGCATTATGTGTATGTGCACATAATGCTTTTAAGTCCCTGAACACCATAACACAAATGGGCCTGAATATATCCTGTTAGTCATAAAGAAGTCCCTATCCTTTTTACTCCCACAGTGTCTTCTGTCCACTCCCCTTCAGTTGTACAAATATGAACACGATATGCTGCCTTTACATCAAGCAAGACAATTGGGCCCATCCAGTCCACTATTATCTCAATGCAGCACTTCAAGGTTTCAGTTCCTGTTACCTGCTAGCTGCCCCCCCCCCCCACTTTTAACAAATCCCTTGAAGTGCTAGTAATTAAACATGGGACCTTCTACATGCAAATAATTTGCTTTATTATTAACATAGAATACCTTCTCTAATTAAAAGATATCTAAAAAGCTCCTCCATCTCCTGTAAACTGTGTGTTCCAAAGTGTGACTCTCCTGAGTAGCATGAGGTGACACAGCAATTCACTGGTTCAATTCCTGGGAAAACAAATCTCAAATTCAAATAATGATTCTCATCTTAACAATGTAAAACATTTTACATTTCTTTCATCAGTAATATAAATGTTATAACCAAATATTTGATGATGAACAGCATTCACAAAGCAGGGATCTAATTTGCCTCTTTTTTGGCATTAAAACTAACACAAGTTTATTCCATTCATGTGATTCTTGAGAATAAGAGTATAACTGAGAAATGTTCATTTTTTCAGCTGCAAAGTAAAAGCACTCTTTATTAAGAAAAATATTCTAACCTCACAATTAGCTAAGATAGAAGCTGGAGTTAAATTGTCTCAGAAAGAAAAACATTTGGTGTTTTGGCTACAAAACACCAAATGTAAAAAAGGAAGGTTGGAATCTGCTACACAATTAGCTACTAACATTATATTGAAGTGAAAAGGAAAGTAAGCGACTTTTTACAGAATTACAGCCTCAGATATTGAAAAGCTTCATCCTAAGTAAATTAACTTGTGAATTACTGCCTTCAAGCAAGCATTTATTTGCAAAAGACAAAAGTATGCAAATCAAGTTAACAATTTAACACATTTTTAAGAACTCTTGAACCTGTCAGGATTTAGCTTCAAGTACATGGATATAGTTTCCCAACATCTTTGATGTTAATGAACTTTCTTTAAGGAATAATAACACAGTCTATATCACAACATGCATCTCCACCACTCTTTCCAAGAACAGCATGGATGTGGAATGATACTTCCACATCATTCATTGTGGTCCATCTTGTACACCAACAGACTAGGTGAGTCAAGGCCATTGTTTGCCTTTCTCTCTCTCTCTTTCAAGGGCACAGTCCTATTGTCTAGGATGCTGCAAAATCATTTGCAGGCTTAACCTGAGAGCTACAATTCTGAACCCTGAGACCCTGCCCATCCCTTTTGCAGTTAGCATAGAAAAAACCAGTTGTCCATCCAAGGTTGCAAATGGCCTTGAACAGAAGGGAAAGGGTGGGTGGGGGGGGGGGGGGGGGGGGGGGGGGGGGGGGGAAGCTGGGGCCAGGCAGCTTACATTGTATCCAAATGGGGCTCCAGCCTCATTCTTTTCCCATTTGAACACTCCAATCCACCTGGATTTCTGAAACTGACTGCTCACACTATGTGTAGGGTGCAAGGTATGTAGTAGTAGAAATTGCCATTGAACCTTGCACCATGCACTGAATGCACATAAGCCTTAGGATTTGGAGGCTTATGAACACTGAGCCTCCAAACACTGAGGTTTATGTGCACTGAGAACACATAAGAAAATAATTTAGAAGTGTTCTTACCTATTTCCCATCACTAGCATTTCAAATTCATGTCAAATATGTGGTGCCAAGTAATTCCATAAAGCATTCTTCTTTGGCTAAATGTCACTATTTTGCTCTTATCCAAATCATATCAGTATCCAAAAAAAGTTCTGACTTAGATTAAAAATGACATTTTTCATTAGGAGTGGGGAAAATTGAAATTAATCCTGTCAATGGAATTAATCCTGAATGGTAGAAATTCCTGTTTAAGCTTGTATATAACAGAAATATTATGCACATTAAAAGAAAAATGCCAAAACACCATTTCATGTTTGTTTTAGACTTGTAATTCCATGTCATCCCAGTTAATCAAGTTTAGTTTCTACCATTCTTTTCTTTCCCCATCCACCCATCAGAGGAAAGGAAACCAAAGCCTACTAAGAGCTGACACTTACATAAGCAAGTGACTAACAACTAGAAACTGCACCCAGCCTCCAGGCCACTAAGGCCATCTTGAAGGGTATTTGAGGAAGAAGAGACTGGATAAGCGGTCCTTTACAAGTTTTAGTCTCTAGGATTGGAAAGATGGTCAAACATATTGGAGTCACTTCCTCCAAGAGACAAGAGATGAACTAGATAGATTGAAAAATGAGATACTGTGACAAGGAGATAACAGTAACAGTACTAGCACCTTTAAGAATGCACTATGGAGTGTCACTGCATAAATGCTATTGCCTTGATTGTGCTACTGCCACCCCCTAAAGGTGCCTTACCCAACCCCAGAGCCCTCCAGACATGCTGAAATGGAACTCCTACAATTGCCAGGCAGCACAGCCGCTGGCCATCTTCCCCTATGGCCAACCCTGGTGGGGAATTATGGATGCTGCAGTCCAACACATCTGGAAGGTGCCAGGTTGGGCAAAGGCTATGCTAGAGCTACTGAAGTGTGTCCAGCAATATAGAAAAGTGTAAGTTAAAATCAATCAGCATCATATCAGACATTATGGCAACAAAAGTGAAAAAAAGCTTAGCTCTCTTCTGCTGCTCTTTAAATCCCACTCCCTGTTGCTTTCAAGGACTTTTAGCATAACCAGAATCAGGTTATAATATATTAACATCGACTTGTTTATGTTACAAGAAAGATTGTCTTTCTTGCCTTTATGAATATTAATACATTACTTATTTTTAAACAACAATGACAACTTGTACCAATATTTCACAAGTTACAATGCTAGTCATAGCCAGAGGTGGTTCTTTTCACATAAGTAAAAATGAAGTTTCATCCTGCTTCCATTGATAATTAAAATGGTAGCTTGGCATTCTGCTTCACCTTTCATCTTCCAGAGAAGTTGGTGCTCATTAGTCCATGTCCTTTGCTTCACATAATTCCTTTTCCGCTTCAGTGGTTGCCCCTTCCATCTTACCACTAAGGGCATCATTAATAGATATCTTTCTCATTTTAATGTTTGGCAGTTTCTTCAGGTCACCATCCCAGTCTCTTTGAAGAAAAGGTGGATAGAGGAAAGAGGAGCAACAGAAGTTTAAACCACAGGAAGTATCATTTCTACATGTTTAAACAAACATTTCTCCTACCAATCAAGTTAAACTCTCTGTCTGAATCAGAGGCGGCTTGCTCAAGAATCATCTTAGCAAGTGGATGAACCATTATCTCCAAAAATATTATAACACTGCAGCAAGTGCAAGAGCTGCAAGTGTGCAGTGAGTGAGGGACTGTGGCTGGGAAAACTGCGTAAACTCCGGCATACACACACCCTGGAAGCAGAAGCAGGACATCTGCTGTGGACAAACTCCTGCTATTAATCATCACTTTCTGCTGTCCAAAATAAAAAGGGCTGGTCCAGTCATACAGACCACAATTTAGAGATGCTGCAATATCAGAAAAGCATAACAGCTAGAGCAGGTGGACAGGCCACAACTGAGGTTGTACTTTTGGGTGGCTTTCAGGTGGGAATGAAGGCTTAATGCTTGCAGGACATATAAAACCAGCATATGAAGGAGAATGTTGTATTTCCTTGTTTTCTGCTTTGGAATTGCATCTGAATAACTCATTTAAAAAGTATCCAGACAGTGCATTTTCGTAAGTCTTGGTATTTGGATAAAAAACAAGTCCAATAAAAGAAATAATAATAATGCACTAAAATAATTATTTTTCCAAACCCATCTTTATTGAAAAATAGACTTCCTGTTGAATAAACACAGGAGACAATTTTACATTTTTTTAAGTCAGTAACTCACCTGAAAGTTTTAAGATGCTTACAGTTCACAATGTCAGGGATATCTGTGGCAAACAATACAATTGATGATCATCCAGCCAAGTATAAATGGAAATTTTGATATTAGATGCTTTAACCAGTAAGCAACTTCTGAATGCCTATTTCTGGTATTGATAGCATGAATGAGGTTGCCCTATTTGTTTTCAGGCATAGTACTCTAGAAGAAAGCACAACCCCAAACCTTTCAAGAACAGGAAAAAGGTCATGAAATGCTATCTCCCTTTCTGGAGAATAAAATTCCAACCAGGAATTTCAGCTGGACTTTATGTAAGAAACAGAACTATATCTTGTGCTTTCCTTCTCCCAAACCACCACTGTTGCACTACAATTTAAAATCTGTCTTATAGCTCCCTTGACAGTTTACGGCCATAGTTATATTATTGGCCACTTCACCAATCTTATCTCCACATGGCATAACATCACAGCCAACAATGTTCACACATTCCACATCCATTTATCTTGTATTTAGTTAAAGAATTTATATCCTAAAAGGCTCTTTGAGCAGCTGACATCAGTAACAATTACAGAACACAAAAGGTAAAGAGGATATGGAAGATAGAGAAGAAAAGGCAGACTCATGCAGTTCTTTAAACATTAGCTCTGGCAATGACAAACTGATGGAAATCCTTCAAGGTGGAGAAGAGGCTGGCCTCTGGGCAAGCCAACAGAGTGGCCCTGCTTGCATTCTCCCTTGAATGCATCCTCCACACATTGGGATGTGTGCACTTATTTGTTCACCCATTTAAAATGGACAGAAGTACTTGTGGCAAAGCATAACAAGATTTCCAGAAAAACTGAATGCTGTAACAAATAGTAATCTAATGTACTGTTTCTTGACCAACAAACGTCCCTTCAAATAGCACATGTGTAGTTCTTGATTGAGCTTGGTAGGCAGTGGCTAGGTTCAGAGGATTAGGAAAGGGGAGGAAGTCACAGTTGCTTCTTTTCCTTGCCTCCTCATTTCCATGTCTGGGCTGCTGTATTGTCCAAAGCTGGCAAGGAACTCTGTAACAAACAAGAGATTGCAAGGAGATTGGAAAGCAACCCCTGCAGCCTACCTTGCCAGGTTTGGACACCATGGAAGCCCACATATGGAAACAATGCTGCATGTGTCCAGCAGCTGCAGGGCAGGGAAAAGAAGAAACTATCATGAAGATGAAGCAATCCTGGAAATAGAATTCTCCCTTTGCCACCATGTTTTTTGAACATCCATATTACATTTCATGAATGAATGAATGATATAATAAATTTCATTCCATAAATTGCGACAGTTTGATAGTAAACATGAGCGCACTACTTCATCATTTCTGAAGTAGCTTTAGTTTACTAAATTGGACAGGATTTAGTTGAGCTATTTCTTCTGGCATGACAGCGCTCCTGGCTGCATTCAAACATTGTCCATAACTCCATAAACCATGGCTTATGAGAGCTTTCCCCAATCTTACACCCACTGGATGTTTCAGACTGCTTTATGTAGCTCTGGATCAGTGTCTTGCATTCACCTGCCACTCTTCCTGTTGTGCCCTGGCTTGCAAGAAGCAATAGTTCCATTGTCTAGTCACAGTAGCGAATTTTGGCTTCATAACTGGCAGGGATTCTCTACTGAAGCATGGTAGGAATAGGAGAGCGCTGTGGACTAACATCCATGTAAGATCACTCTTTTCAAATGTATGCTTTCCAAAAAGTTTTGCAAAGTCTTTAAATAATAGTGTTCAGTTCTAGTCAGTATGGAATTAGAAGAATGGTAAAAATAACAGTTCAGCTATACATAAATATAATTCTGAAATGCAAGCAAGCTCCTGCCAGATGCTGGCCTTCATACTTTGAATTCACTGCCTCTGTTGTGTTACTGATAATAACATTTTAACAGATAATTGGTCATCATTATATCTACATACCATATAATGTTTTCCCTTCTCAAATGTCAAGTAGGCATCTTCAAATAAAGCATGTCATTTCAGAGAAGAATGAAACTGTATTATTTGTAAAGCTATAATATGTTTCCCATCTCCTGCAAACACTTCCAATCATCATAACAAAGGACTTGTACATTATAGCAAAGATTAATTAAAACCAAGTGACTTGAGAAACCTATGCAACATCTTTTAATATTATTAGACATTTGGTTATTTCCCCAGTATAATGGGAGGAAGCATTCAAAACCAAACAATTCACTTCCAACTAAATGAGAGTTTGTGAACAAACTGGTAGTATAAGAGGCAATTTAGTTCCATCTTCTGCTAATTCAAACAAAATAGCAGGATCAGCATGCAAGACAGCACTGCTGTCATTCCAAGGAACTGCCAGTAAACACAAAAGCCTGCTACCTTTACTATTTCTAAATCTGTCGATTTAGATTTTTCATCGAATGACAAGAGGGAACTTTCTGAGCATTTTTAAGAAAACCAAACAGATCCATAGAAGCTGCCTTATACTGAGTCACACCACTGGTCCATCTTAGCCCATTACTGTTGGCACAGACAGGCAGCAATGGTTTTCCTGGGTTTCAAGCAGTTTTTCTAGACCTGTCTGGAGGAGATATGGACAGAACCTAAGGCTATCTGCGTATAACCAAGGTGTTCTTCCACTGAACCACAGATCCTCACACACTACTTCCCAAATGAACTAAATCAGCAAAGAATAAATTGTCTGGATTTTTTAAGCTACTTGTATAATACTCTTGATCACTAAACAACATATAGCTACACTGTCATTATAATAGGAGTTTATACTGGAGTCAAGCATAACCTATAGTGCAATCCTACACATGTTTATATAGAAGTACATCCAGCTATGCTCAATGGGGATTACTCATTAGTGTGTTTAGGACATCTGCAATTCTGTGCACGTGTCCCTGGGAGTAAGATGCATAGAAAGCAATGGGACTGAGCATTCATGTATGGGATAACACTGTCAGTGTTATTTAAGTCTTAACCCCTCCAATATTCTTCTAGTATTTTCTTTTCAACACTGAACACAACAGTCTGGAGTGGCAAAGATATTCACTACTGGATATTATCATTAAGAATAGCAAAGCCACTGAAGACATTACTGAATAGTGTTATTCATCCCTATGCCAGAGTAAAACACTATTTCAGGCAGACATTTTGCAGCCAGAAAATATTATATTGTTGCAAGCATGTTCTCTTCATGACTTAAAATAAATTCATTTCAAAAGTACTTTCAGTACACTGTTTGTTGTTCAAAAGATATTGCTGTGGATAAAGAAAAGTTTCCATCACTTCCTTCCCCATGCACTCCCCAAACAGCCTCTCCAGAGAACTTGGGAGTCCTCAGTGAACTTATTAGAATCCAAGCTTCATTCTGGTCAAGTCTTCCCTTCCTCAGCATTCTCATGACAGTCACATCAAACTCTTCAAGTCTAATTGTCTAACAGGCTATTCATATAACCACTGGGTGGTTTGAAGTGCGGACAAAGGTTCTCTGAATTTATGTTACCAAAGTGACAATGCAGTTAGTTGATTATATACTAACAGTCTGATCTGGCTTCCCAGGGCTTAGAATAGCCCTTAGTGAAGTCCTCATGCACAGCTGTACAGCTGTCAGATCTGGACATATTATGCCAACCCCACTTGAGAGAAACCACGGCTGTTGACATCCCAGGCATGGCTTCTGCCATTGTGTACCCATACAGATCCACCTCCTCCCCACAGGGAGGAAGCTGTCCCACAAAAGGAGACAGGGGGCTCTTGAACTATTTTCTCTGGCTTTGATTTGTATTGGCTGCAAAGCTATGAGCTAATTAGGAAAGTCTTGCAGATAATGAAGGTTTAATTTCACAGATACATTTAAATTAATTAAGATTGATTATGAATTTTAAGGACAAAATAAGCCTGAAGCACACATGGCTAGAGCCCCCTCACTATGCAAATCAATTTTCATGTAACTGGGCTTCATGGTCCTGGAGCTATGATGCTGAATAAACGTTGTCTTTTATTTTTATAGATTATCACAGCATTGGAGTTGAGTGACTAGTTAGGTATATGGTGAAGGAGAAGCTTAGCTAGTTGGCCAGATTGTCAGTGTGGATACAACTGAATCACCATTACTGATCAATTATAACCAACTATACTTTAACCAAATCAAAAGCAAAGATCTCAGGCATCTTTCCTCCATCCCGGACTTATCTTTCAGGCAGCCATGGAAACCTAATCTGCTCATGCTACAGACTAAGTTTAAGGGAGGTGGTACAAACTTCTACCACCTCCCTTCTACACCACTTTTCAGTGTTCTACTGAACAACTTGTACACAGAACAAATAGAAAACTAGCACACTAGAAAGTAACCTGGATAGAACCTTTCCTTTGCCCACATAATATGGTACTTTAAACGGACCTAGAGGAAGTTTTTAATAGGTGGACTAATTCAGAACTGACATTCTCCACCTACAGTCTGAAGTGAAGCTGCCCACTCCAGCCTATTAAGAATTCTATCAGCTCATTCTGCTGTATGCAAAAATAGGGGCTGTAACAATGGAGCTGCAGTAGGCAAGATCAGACTATTGGAACTGGATAGCCCAGAGAATCATATTCCGTGCTGATTGAAATAAGAGATAATACTTTCCCAAGAAAACAGCATGCAGCCGACATTTCAATTCAGTTTTGTCCACAGCTGGAGCTAAGGAAGCTAAAATGAATGAAAAGCAACAGCCTGCCACCAGTGCCAAAAACATACAGATATGTTCCCCCTAAAGTTCTATAGTCAGACAGGCACAAAAACCCAGGAAGAAAAGCTGTACTTCCTCTTGACAAGCTTCAAGCCATTTCCTCCCATAGTGATGCTATGCTCTCTGCCTAGCAAGCATGGACCTCAAAAGTACACACAAACTTAGCTGTTCCCCCTCTAAGATAATAAGATTCCACACAATCTTATACTCTCTCTCACTCTGAAACAGAAGGGAGAACTTTATCTTCATCAAGAAAAGACCTAATTAAATCAAGCCCACAGACATGGTCTCTCATTAAGAGAAAGGAAAGGCAGAGGAGGGCTTCCCAGTGTTGCTAAGGATTTCAAACCCTATTAACATTAAAAAGCAACTAACTTCTAAACTTTAAATTGCTGTATCTAATTACACTATCCAATAGCGACAATTCTGCTTAAATTAAAGCTCAGTTAAGGCATTGTGCAAAGATTTGCAACAGGAGTGCTAATAAGGAATGAATGACTGGAGGCTATCTTTAACAAGAACAGACAAGAGGAAACACAAATCACACTTCCTGTGTACTTTTCAGACTTCTTTCTAGCTTATGTACAATGTGCAATTTCTTAAGTGTAAAACAATTTTCCATTTTGCTTGACTGAAAATTTTGGACCCAGCTATGGCTCTCTTTATGTGCTTGAGCCTTTCGCACCAAAACTGAGGATAGGAGATGGGGGATACCTTAAATATATTTATTTTAGACCCACTTCTACAAGAAGATAGAAATGAAAAAACCACAAGTACACAGAAAAACACAAGCAGTATGTGAACATATTCTTAAGTTCCAAATAACTTCCAAATCTAACATTGTAGCACTGAGACAGTTTAGTCACCTCATGTGCAAGCACATTTTTGGTGGACCAAATGCAGGGGACCATTGACCCTGGTTTCTATTAAAATGTTTTATAGGAGCTCTTCCTCAGCAGGTGCTCTCCCACCTTCCTTGCCTGACTGGAGAAAGTGGCAGATCAACATATCATGCAGTGGCCATAGTTCAGAAGGGACTGTTCAACAACATTATCTATTCAGTTCCCCCAGTGGAACTTCAAGACCAATTTTGTGAAGTGGCCTTGGAGGTTGGCATGAGAAATCCATGTCCATGAAAAGTACAACTGCATATAGGAACTGTAGGAGAGAAGTAGGAAGTAAGTAGTGAGATTAAGAAAAACATTCTAGGGAACAAACACAAGGAGTTTTGCTTTGCTTTTTAAATTCTTCTACAAGCAAAATACCAGGACACAGGTGTCCTGTGCAGAATTCCCATTTGCCAACAAGAAGTTATCCCTATTTGGGAAGGGCAGGGGATATTTCAGTGCAGTGAGATTTATACCCAACATACCAAGTCCATATCCTTCGTACAGCTGTCTTTCACGTTCCATAGTCTGCTTGATCACTGTTTCCCTAGAAATGTGCTGTCTTGCCTTTCTTCCTTTAATGCTGTTACGCAGTTCAATTTGCTCCAGCTCATCACTAAATCTCTGCAAATAACTGAAGCACAGTAAAACATTGTGAGAAACTTATTTGCTCAAATGTTACACTTTACCACAGGCTTTACAAATAGCCACAGAAGAGATAATAAGGGCTGAATGACAAAACTCTGAAGTTCAGATGGGCTGAGTACAGGACTGAAGCAATATGGCAATGTTGCTGACTGAGATTAACAACAACACCTTAATGCATACACCAAGAAATGCATATATGAATTGGACTGACTCCAATATCCTACTCAGAGTAGACACACTGGAATAAATGGGACTTAAGTCAGTTATGTCTGACATAAGCTCATTTATTCTGATGGCTCAATCCTAAGTAGGTTCAACACTGGATTCAACCAATTGAATCACCCCAATGGACCATGAACAGGTGAAGGAAATAAAGGACAATATCAAATCTTGATGTAGTAAAATGTCTGTCCATCTGTCCATCCATCTCAGAAGTGTTAGACTGCTCTCATTGCTTCTATCTTCCACATCACCTGCTCCAGCAATGTACATATACTTCAAATAAATTAAATTAGATATGTTTACAAAAATCAGAAGTAGGAAGAATGGAGGCAAGCTACTGTAATACAATTATGATAGACAAAAAATAGGATTATTGTGTATTATCATACATTATTTCACTAATTACAATTGGTACCTTTGATTTTTGAACCAGTATAACTATCTTTACTTTTCTATTAGTGCATTAATATTACTTACTACACTGTTAATATCAGAGGTTTTGTTGTTTTTTTAAAGACGTAACGTAATTGGCCATTTCATATGGCTTCAGGTATTCTTTATTCCATGTAGAGCAGTGATGCATGCTGGGTGATATTTTGAATATGCAACCCATTTTGAGGGTTGTTGTTGCATGAATCCAGACAATGAGCATTACTTGAGGTTAAACAATTGGATAACACGGCAACAAACTGAAGATGTCCAGTTGTGTTTAATCCACACAACAGATTAAAATGCCACTCAGCAGAGGCCACAGCTCATCATAAAGCCCAACATGCCCAACAGCCCAACATGCCATGCAAACTGGCACTGTGTTGTGTGGCTCGAGCCTGTCTTCTATTAGCTTATGAGAATATATATACATAAAGTGTTACAATAATGGGCACTTTGGCATGTACAATTAACTAAAAATAAGCATTGAGGAAGGTATATATAGACTGCTACAGAAGAACAATGCTATCCAGCAGGTCATAATGCTGACACTGTTAAAGCACCTCAAACACATTGGTGGGGACTGTGCCTGGGATGACATGTAAGGAAAGCTAGTGACATTCACTAAAGGGAACATTAACGCATCACTCTTACTTCCAACAAGACAGGACTTCTGTTTGTTCATCTGTTGCAAACTTACTTTTCTGTTAGTTTGCAGGCTTCTTTTTTTGTGTATTCCACCTGGTTGGGGTCAAGGTGGCTCTGAAACCAGAGCAATTTTTCACCTAAAAAATGAAAATGAATATATGTGTGTGTATTAAAAGCACATGAAATGCACGCCGGTACTCCATACAGCTGTTATACAATGCAAGTGAGTTAAAAGTTGGTCTACTGTTTCTGCAACTTATCATAGGAGTAATTCAGCCTTGAGAAAACGCCTCTACAACAAATTTAAGAGTTCCAAGGATGCAATCTAGGATTCCTTGATGCCAGCATATCTCTGGCTACTGCCACTACTCTGTTCATATACCTCATTTTTTCTTAGACTGGCAACTGTGGCTAGATGATATCTCATCAAAAAGTTAGGCCTGGCCCAGGAAAGTCAGCTGCTGGTACCAACTTCCAGGAATATAATTCTGTCATAACATAAAAAATTCAGTCCAGCTTTTGTCACTCTAATGAGATGAAATTTGGACTGTAAGTATAAAAGTCCACATTTCAGATGCTTGACTAAAGAGGAAAAAAAAGGGTAACAATCTGTAAAATGGCTGTTTAAACTACTATACTATTACATCAAGAAGGAAATATTAAATATCACTGTAATGCATGCAGAACATATCATATGATATTCAGCATATCAGCTAAGTTCTTCATCTATGGCTTGCCTGATTATAAAATGGCTGCCTCAAAACATTCATTCTCCAGAGTCCATAAATAAATCAAGCAAGCAAGCAAGCAAGCAAGCAAGCAAGCATCTAGCTACAAGGCAGAAATGAATCCTGAGCTCCAAAACACAAAATCATTCTTATGAACCCAAATAAAGAGGATGCTGGATGGTAACATTTCATTTCATAGCATGCCAGCATCTCAATTAAAATCTTTGTTTAAATTAAAACTCTTAAGATAGAAACAAGGAGGGGTTGTGTACAAAAAAGAAATGTCTGTGGGCACACAGGTACCCACTGGCACTATGCTGGAGATTTCAGCAGTAGGAATTACTACTTACATGCCTAAGGTTGCACTGGTGTATGTATACATTCATAATGGAAACATGGACTGACTGACTGATTTCATTTCTTTATCACCCAAGGACAGTTCACAACAATTTAAGTGCATAAAACAGAATATAAACATTTAAATGGTTAAAACAATAGTATAAAATTTTAAAACAATAGTATAAAATTGTTTTAACAATAGCAAGAGTAAGATATAGCAGCAGAACAAAGATTTAAAAAACAGTACAGCATTTAGAACAAACTAAAATTAAAATTCCTGAGAAAAATAAGATCTTTGCCTGGCGCCAGAAAAGTACAATGTTGGTGCCTGGCAAGCTTCTCTGGGAAGTTCAATCTATAGCTGGGGTTCCCAAAACAGAAAAAGCCTTCATCTTAAACACTTGCCCGACTTCCTTTGGCAGGGGTGCTTTCAGAAGGGTGATGTCTTAAAGACCAAAAAGTTATATATGGGAGGAGACAAAGCTTCAGGTAACCTGCCTTCAAGCTATTTAGGGTTCTGAATGTGAACTTTGACTCAGGTCTCGACATAGGCCAGTTCCTTGCTGTCTGCACTGGCTGGCAGCCCAATAGAATCACACCACCCAGTCCCTGTTAGCAATCGATGTTCTGCTTTGGATCAACTGAAGTTTTTGGCTGTTTTCAAAAGCAGTTGCATGTATACACATCACAATAATCCAACCAAGAGGTTACCAAAGAATGGATAACTAGCATTTTCTGCATTTCCAGATAAGGATGCGGCTGGTAGATCAGACTGAGCTGATAGAAGAGCTGGGTGTTATTTGCATATTTATGACACTTCAGCTCACACCACTGGATAACCTCCTGCAGAAGTTTCATATATACTCTGAACAGCATGGTTCATAAAACAGAGCCCTGCAGGGCCCCATAGCATAACTGTCAATATACAGAGCAGTAATCATCAGAACCACCTTCTGGAACCAGCTGTCCAGGTAGGAGCAGAACCACTGAAATGCAGTCTCTCTATTTCCCAACCCAGACACCCTACCAGAAGGATAACAGCATCAAACGCCACTGAGAGGGCCTACAGATTCGACAGAGTTGCACTCTTCCTCTCCCACAAATTGACAGTTGCACAGACCTGAATAGGTGGCATGTTCTGTTCAGCCAATGTAGTTGCTTTAAAAGTACCTGAGCAGATGCATTTGTGAATGTAAGATGAGAGACAGCAGGGATGTAGAGAAAAAGGCAAATGGAGGCTATTATTTTTATGACTTTAAATCTTCCTTGATCGTGGCAGTTTGCCAGAGGCCTAGCAAATCAAGCTGTTATCACTGCTCTAAACCATCCTTTTGTAGCTAGATTTATCATGCAATCTCCTCCGGTTGCAGAACGACCCACAGTAGCCAAAAAATGCCTTGAAAAGTGGATCAGGTGCTCTGAAGCTGAAGTTTATTCCTCATTTACCAAGAACTGCCTCTTAGCCAAAGATATCTGAAATATGAGTTACACATTACATCCTTCATGGAAAAAGGTCAGTCTAAGTTGAGTCACTTTATCCATAATGAGTCACTTCACATATCAGTCCTGGTGTCTATTTCTGCCATGCAATTGTACTTGCATTCCAAAACAGGCCAGTTGCATGAGGAAATATAACATGACATAGACATGCATGGAAAGTATATACAACAGAGATGTTGTTATGCTGCTGGTCCATGTTACTCCAGCTTAGTTTCCCTCTTTGACTCAAGAGAATGACCATGAAGGGAGTGATTGACAAGTTCTATGTTATATAGAATTTCTTAGCATTTCTGTCTTCTGGAAGTTCCTTCTGGAAGCATTCAACTATTTTCCCTGTGCAAGGGCCAGGTGTCACTAAGAATGAATAGATTGTGAACATCCCATGTGTAGGAGCAGCTCTGTGATACTGTAAAGGAAGACTTTCCCAACTTGTAATTCGACATCATCTGGGGACCCAAGTATGAAAAAGGCTGATTTAAGGTTCTCGCAATAAAGGGTTGGATAAGCCAACTATCAGGATACAAGAGGATAGAATTCTATCTTTTGACTTCAACAGGGATTGGGTTAGATCACTTTTAGTTAATTCTGTTTCTGTGCTTTAGAAAAGGGAAAGGTAGCCAGGGTTATTATTCTTGCTAAGGATAATATTTTATAATAACCTGATAACCTGGGAAAAGAACTAGCAGAGCAGGGAAGCCTTGACCTACTTTTTCAGCAGAGGCTTATGAGCATGCAGTGCAATATGAGAGGCATGGCAACAGCAAGCTCCAATACTGCCATGCTTCACGCCCTACATTTTATCTACTGGCCTTTTTCAGCCATCTAGATTAAGCACCAAGAAGGGATAGGGGAGGATGCTGGGCTGCTGACTGGAATCAGCACAACTCCACAGCCCCAGTGCCCTCTCCTCGTCAGCGGAGATGCCTCTTTTTCCTCCTCCAAGTCTCAGCTGTGACTGTGGAAAGGGCAGGAGCTAGTGAAATTCTTTCCATGGGGAATGTAAGCCAGCATGGGTTTGATAGGTGGAGTCCTAGCACTATGATCTTCCAGACAAAAATCCAATGGTCACCCAGAGAATTTCAGGAAGGCATAGGCTTGTATCTTTAAAGGTTTTAAGATATATTACATAAAATGTAATTCTGAAGATCTTCAAACTTTAAAAATAATAATAATAATAATAATAATAATAATAATAATAATAATAATAATAATCTTTGCACTCACCTATAATGCTGAGACGAAAGGCCTTTTCATTTTTCAACCTGCAAAAGGGATGGCTGCAATTTAATTATTCCCAATATTAAAAACCAAACAGTTACACAAGGGAGGAAACAAATGGAAATGGAAAAATGAACGTTTAACTTTTATGGCACATATAAGGCTGAAAGTCAACTACTTCACAATTTCCTTCTTAAACCAAGTTGGGTTTTTTAGCCATGGAAGGAAGAGGTTGCAGAAATATCTTCATTCTCAAGGAGTCGTTTTTAGAACAACAAACTGGTATTACATTATAATGGTTACTTGCTCTACTGTCAGAAGACATCTCATTATTAAAATCTAAAAGTGGGACAAGCAATAAATGTTGCAGTGTATCCTTACCTCCTAGCAGTATTCCTCTTCAGAATTCCTGCCAGCCAATCCTATCCTGCGCCCAGATACCCGAAGCCTGCCTTCCCCAACAAAGGGCTCACAGGACCCTCATCAATGCTTGCAAAGTCCCTGCTGCTTGCAAATGATATATATTCTTTTAAATTATGGGGCAGTAAGGAGAGGCACATTACACAGAAAGGTCCTGGCTTCCAGCAGCATGCTACTTTCATTCCTCCATAACGCTTCTGGGACCAGAAACATGTTTAAGAAATGATTATGGCAGGTGGCTGGTACCTGGTAAAAATGCTTACAAAAAGAGGAAGAGAAGGAGACATTGCTGCTTTGTAAGCTTAAGTGGGAGAAGCAGGGCAAGAAAACATGTGCACATGAACAAACAGAAGGTGTAAGTGTGAAATAGCAGATGCACACAAAATAGCCCCAACCTATGAAAGCAGGAATATGGCACACTTGCTTTTCAGTATGAGTCTGGGTAAAATCCAAATCCAACAGAATCTCCTGAATTTATGTGATTTTTTTCTTGGGATTTTTCTGCAACTCTCAAGCAACCAACAGTGTAAAGCTTGGTCCTATCGATTTGTACAGGAAAAGTATCAGAACTGGTACTTACCACCACAAACCAAAAACATGGATTCAAGGCACAGTTCATTGTGGACCTTAGTGGTTTTTACAATAGATTCTCCCATAATCATTAAATTATGAAACATCTGTGTCTACTTCTGTGTTCTGATGATTTATTTACAGGATTTGTAAAGTATTGGGAAGACCCACAGGGACTTACAACTTGGAATGTTGGAAGGTGCTGGCAAGATATCCCAAGTTAAAAAAGGTGTGGGGGAGTATAGCTTCTACAAATTTATTTGATTTACTGAATCTGATTTTTACAGTCCTACCATTTCACAACTGTTCAGACCCTCCATAAAAGACATAACGGGCAGTGCTAAAGTATATAGAAGCCATCAAGTTGCTTAACCATGTCTTAAAGGACATACCAGTCAGGAAGCTACACAGGGTCCTACACAACTAGGGACTAAATTATATAATCACACTATCCACACAGGTAGCATCACAAAAGAATCCACAGATGAGATGACTTCATGTCACCTTTATAAGCTGAATCATAAAGACAAAAATGTAGGAGAAAATGCAGTAAGATATGACCAGATTTCAAAAGTGTGACATCTTTTCATAATTTACTATTTTTATCATTATGGTAAAATAATGAATAGTTAAAATTGTTCTGTTGGAAGACAGTTCTTGCCATCAGTTCAACTGAAGTTAAAATGTGCCATTATTCACTGTGACCTTTAAATGACAGCTCAGAGTAGTACAACTCACTAAATATTTGAATAAATATCAAAAGCTGGCAGAAGATTAGAAGTACAAAGTAAGTTTCTACTTTAATTTGCTAGACTTAACATATCCAAGACAAGGTAGATATTAATAAATCTGTCAGTTTGCAGAATCAAACTGAGTTCCAGATGTGCTGTTGGTTATCTGGGGTTAATGAGGGGTTTTCATAAAGAAAGCATCTCACTGGATTCTACAATTATTCTAAAACCCATGATGTAGGCCCTAGTATATTGTAAAGCTTTGACTATTTTGTACCATAGTTAAGCATATAATTCTACTGCTGCCTCTGGTATTTAATTCTACAAATGGGCAAACAATATCTGGGGAAATTAAGAGTTCAGTTTCATCAATAAACTCCCATTGTAATATACCACGTTGGTCAAAAGTTCAACTGACAGCAAATTTCCTAAAGGAAAGTACTTAAGATATTATCATGTAGCATGAACTAAAGCACAAATTAGACAATCAGGTGTTTCCTCCCAAGCAAATAGTCCATTGGAGGACAGATTTTTCACAAGACTAAGACAATGGAAGAAAACTGGATTTTCTTTCTTCACCTATTCCAATCCTTATTATTGGTTGTACCCCTCTTTGCATTTTTAAAAAAATCTATTTGTTAAATGGAAAGACACTTATCTATTTGTTCCCTTGGCAACATGCTAATTTTAATCACATATAAAAGCACTTCCTCCTTAACATAAGGTGGTTTTTCTACCCAGGTAGTTAGCATTATGAAAATACAAGAAATACCCAGTTCATAAAACTCAATCCCTATGTCTGTACTTAGTAAGGAAATAGCCTGCAAGACGCCATTAAAGAGAATTCCATGCTGAGCAATATCATAACAATTGATTTCACATGTTAAGTTGAAAGAGAGACTACATGGACCACACAGACTTTGGTTTCTGTAGAGTGGTTTCCTCGAAACAAATAGTATGTGTATAAAATATATTCAGGATCTTTCCACACAATAAAAATCACTTAACATAAATCCTGTCATGTTTGCTACAGTTGCATTTTTAAGTCCTTTGTTTATAGAAATTAACAATGCCAATCTGCAACTACAAATTCAGAATTTATGTACAAAAATTCAAGAAACCTGCTACTGGAACTTTTTAAAAAAGGTATACTGGTAAGAGGATTGGAAATGCAATGTTTTAAAAAGGAGGATGGAAAAGCGGAGACAAATCAATTGCTCTAATCTGCTGGAAATCCATTTCTGACAGTTCAAGGTTTCCCATAAAGTAATTTAGCTTTTCTTATCTTGTGTTTCAATACATGAGGAAGGCTTATTTACAGCAGAAATAGTATTAGAGGCCTGCCAATGCCATAAATACTTTCCCACCTTATGGTCAATGGAAGCAAGATATCATCAGTCTGAATGAAAAGACGCAAGGTTTGAAACAAAAAGGTGTTACAGGTCAGCATGAATATGAATATTTCTAGAATATAAATGTGTTTCAGTTGTCATATTGCTGCTTTTGAATTACAGGAATGTTCTGGCACATTAAAGTATGTGCAAAAGCAATGATTCACTGGCAATAAAGATGCTATTTTAAGAGCCAGGCTATAAAATTATTTAACAGAATAGCACATTGTTCAAGGTCACAAACTTTTATGCAAAGTTTAATATACAAGAGGAGGCTCACAGAAATGCAGATGTGTTCCTTTCTTTCCATTCCCTGCCATAATCTCCATGCATGACAGTTCTTGCCCATTTTTTATAATTCCCTCCCCCTCATTTACACACTCACACAGTGTTGCCAGCAGACATGGTGACAGACTTTGACAAGGCATGCACGAGCCAAGCCTGTGCAGCTGAGAAACAGGATATAAATCACTGTGGTTACCTCTGCCACCACTGCCCTCGACAGCTGCATTACCTTCTTTCTCTCTACTTTCTTCTTGGGCAAGTGGGGCCATTTCACCCAAAGCAGGTATAGAACAGTTGGGCCTTGAGTTGTTCGGCTGCAACTCCCGTTAGCCAACAAAGCCAATGGCGGTGGGTGATTGGAGTTGGAGTGATGGAAATCCACCAGCATCTGAGGGGTGACATGTTCCCCACCCCTGGCATAGAGAGTCAATCAATTTGCATCTTCAGATAGTGCCTCTAGCAGGTACATGTCCACAGCCCCCACTCCAAGAAAAGTGCAAGTGTCTGTTCTTGCTCACCTTACCACTGGCAAAGCAACAGAATTGGGTGAGCTACAGGTGCAGAACGAGCTGCCATCTGCACAGCCTTTGTCTCATTTCCCCCAATTTTTTCATCCCACATCCCAAACCCTTTCTGAAGTTCTCCCTAACCACATGCAACATTTTTGTCGGAAAAGTTATTAAAGCTATAGTACATAATTTTAGAGAATTTTCTATATGAACATTTGCAGGTCTCTGTAAGAATATCTGGTAAGGGTAAGATTGTTAATCAAGCCGCAAACTTTGGATACATGTAAAATAAACACACACACACAATCTGTAGTAAACTTATTCGTATTATAAGACACAATACCGCTGCAGCAATGACAGAAAACAGGCTGTTGTACAGTGATACAATGCTGTGTTAGTGGCTTTTGTCACCAGCAATTCTCAGGTGTGGGATGAAAATTAATAATAATTGCATATTTCTACAGTATCTAAAAATAAGATGGAGTGACAGGAATGTACAGTGTGTCTGTGTGACACTACTCTGTTTCTTTATACTAGAACAGACACCAAACACTCCCCCAATTTTTTTTTTAATCTGCTGTTAGAAAGCAAGGAAGGGGAGACCCTCTCCTCATACGCCAGTCTAGGTGCATTGCTCTTAGCATACTGGTCTATGAATATATCAAAATTACTGCAAGATGTATCACATAAAGGTCACTGAGATGGTTTAATTCCTAAAACAGTTTAGGGTCTGGTTATCTAAAGTAACGCTTCCTTCTATATATACCTGTCTGGTCCTTAAGATCTTCTACAGAGTTCTGTCTTCACCTTGAAGAAAGTGAGGGCGGTTGTTACAAGAAGGGCCTTCTCAGTGGTGGTGCCTCAACTGTGGAATATGCCTCTATATTCTTTCCAGCACCAGACCAAGACCTTTTTATTTCCCAAGTATTTTAATTGTGTGTGTGATATGATTTAATTCTATTTTTAATTAACTGAGTACCATCAAATTGTTCTGATGCTTTTACTGTTGCAATCTGTCCAGAGATTTTCTACAGAAATATAGATGGCACAGGAAATAAATAAATAAAACTAGGACACGTAGCACACAATCATAGAACATGTACTTCATTAATTAAATATGTTCTAATTTCTTAATAGTGATGTTGCAGTAATGCAAAGGATGTACCATATTTATTCTAAACACCACACCACACAAGTTTCTTACATATAAAGAAAAAAAGAAAATGTAATCTCAGTCTGTGAAGGATTTCATAAAAGTAGTCTCCACTGATGCAGACATGCAAAAATGTTACAATGGCTACACAATCAAGATGAAACAGGTTTCAAGAAGCACCTTTCATCGAGATTTTCCATTATGGTCTCTTATGTGTCAGCAACCCTGCACAATTACAAGCAAAAGGATTTAGGGTCTAAAAGTAATTTGTTTCCATCAAGATACATATGGTAAATTATTCTCACTTTTAATACACTTAAGGTAAAGCATTGCAAACTCAGTATTTCCTGACATTTCTGGGGCAAGAAAATTAACCTGACAACACAGCAGATCCATATTTTCTCCTCCCTCCACTGAACACTACAGGTATGAAGTTACTCACTTTTCTTTTTTGTCCTTTTTATGTGTTTCTTTTGTAAGTTGAGCAGCTTTTCTGCTGTAAGGATGGACGACTTTCCTCTCCTGCCCACCTCCTTTGCTCCTTGCTGCTTTTGGCTGAAATAATGAAATTGGAAGAAAGACACAGTAAGACATTTTAAAGCACTTCTCTTCAAAAGCATTGAGGGTAAAAGATTCAGTTATTTTAGAAGAAGAAAGCAGTTCTTGAAGAAGATACAGTGAAGAAGAACCTTTTCAGTTCTTCAAAAGGCCTTATGTTCACGGCAGAATATATAACTGAGGTATTAATAACATTGTTTTCAATACATTTATTATTTTCGGTTTCTACACTGCCAATTGACTGCATTGCATCTTCCAGGCACATCTAGATGCCATCAGCATTCTAAACCCCTAGCACGCTGACTGTCTGCTTAGAGATGACAATGAGATGCACTTGTGGCTTTAGTCAACAATCTCCTCATACTGACTGACAGGTAAATGGCATTCTAATCAGCTATCTCGAGAAGAATATGGAAAGGATGGAAAAGGCACAGACAAGGGCAACCAAAGTGATCAGCGGATTTGAGAGCCTTCAACCAACAGAAAAACAATGTTCAGAGTTTGTGTTTTTAGGTTAAAAAGAAAGGTAAGTATGGGAACATATTACAGAAACTGAAAAAATATGCATTATGGAGGAACTAAATAGAGATAAGCCTTTTCCCTCTCTCTTATAGTAGAACTCAGTTAAACTGATTTGGTGTAGATTCAGAACAGAATAAAAGTATTTTCCTGCTAGAACACCCATGGTAACTGCTTGATCTACATATATGAATTTTCTATAGAAACCAGCAAGAACCATTTTGCCTCCCTTTCAATATTAGCAAGAGATGACACTGCAATCAATTCCACCAGTATGATGAAACACAGATAGCCAACATCTCACAATTTTGTACCATTAGGAATGGGAAGAGGTCAACAAAACGTTGTTGTTACTGTTACTGTTATTATTCCATTACATTTCTATACTAGCCATAGCAGAAGCTCTTTGGGAGGTTATTGACATTTAAGTCACAAATCCAGATTTCAACCAGACCCATCCCTGCTTAGCTTCCAAGATTAGGAAGGATCAAGCAACACTGCCAGGTCTTGTTACATAACAGAAATAGGGAGGCCAGCAGGAATAGGGAAGGTTCAAACCAGCATGACCAGTGATAAATGATTACGGTACCACACTCCAATGTCTGGAGGGCAACAGCTTGTCTACAACTATTCTAGAGCACAACTGTTATAAGACAGCTTACATTATAATAAAAATTGAATACACAATTTAAAACCACAATTGCATCAACTGAGAGCAGCATATCTGAAAGCAAAATCCTGATTAAAAGGTAAATAAAGAAACAACATGATATTTAGCATTATATTATCATATTATCATGACATGATGATGCTGAACTGCACCAAATGTACATTAACTCTGTATCATGAAAGAAAGAAGAAAAATCTCCTTATCAGTTCCCTCACAACTGGACACTCATTCCCCGGAGTTTTGCCAAAGAGTTTTCATCTCTGAGCAACTGAAGGTGAGCAAGAATAGCAGCATTTATCTAACCATGTTTAATGATTTAATAAATATTTTAAACTTTTTAATCACTAATAGCCACAGTAGGCAGAAACAAACATGCAAATCTGATCAATTTTTCCTTCGCTGCCACACATTCCATCTCTAGATAAACTGCATGAAGACAATGGGCTAGTTTGCATGTGCAGAGTACAATTTATCAGACTACCTGCCCAGGCATGACTTTTAATGTCATCTAAATCCAGGAGTTTTAAATGTACACTACCCTCAAATAACACAGAATAGTGCCAGGGTTACCTCCCTGGCTCAGGTTTAGATGGTACTACAAGACTCATCCGAAAGGGTAATTAGGCAAAGCACACCCACAAAGCTGTCATGATCTGTTCAACCCTTGGTGATCATGCAAAACAGGTCCAACAGTCCTATTTCCAAGTACTGTGTTGAGAACTGTGCTACCCCAAGCATTATGCCATGCTATCCCATTGCTTTTACTTAGAAAACGGAGAATTTGCTCAACTTCAGTTGCACCCTTCTAGAGAAAACAAATCTGGCCAGATGCTTAGTCACCTCCAGATCAGATTATGAGGAATGTTGCCCAAGAGAAGTGTTCAGAAGGTATGGTGTTGTTATGTGCCATCAAGCTGTCTCCAACTTATAGTGACTCCACAAAAGTCTTATCCATGACAGCCCTGCTCAGCTCTTCTAAGTCAAGGCTATGGCTTCCTTTTTGGAGTCTAGCTGATGCAAAATGCAGAGGCCAGTATGTATTCCGGTGTGCACTTTTCAGACACAGTTCTTAGTGCCTTGCAAAAGTATTCATGCCCCCCCTCCGCTTTGGCTTTTCAACATTTTTTGCATTATAACCTGGAATTTAAAAGGATATAAAGATATGCCACTTGATGTACACACAATACTCAACACTGTAAGAGTGCTAAATATTTTTATTGTGGCACAAACGCTAAGTAAACAAAAACAAACTCGCTCTTGTTGGATGCATAAGTATTCTCTCTCTCTCTCTCTCTCTCTCTCTCACACACACACACACACACATCAATTAATACTTACAAGAAGCACTTATGGCAGCAATTGTAGTTTGTAAGTCTATCAGTTTTGCATATCTGGATCTTGCAAGGTTTGCTGATTCTTTCCAGCAAAACTGCTCCCACTCTGTCAGCTTGGATGGAAACCATAATCAATGAGCAATTTTCAAGTCTGGTTATAGATTCCAATTGGATTGAGGTCTAAGCTTTAATTGGACCATTCTACAACATTCAGGTTCTTGTTTTTAAACCATTCCAGTGTTTCTTTGGCTGTGTGTTCAGGGTCATTGTCTTGGTGGAAGGTGAATCTCTATCCCAGGCTCAGGTTTCTTGTTGACTGAAACAGGTTTGCTGCTAAATTACCCTGTATTTTATTTTATCCATCTTGCCTCAATCCTGACCAGCCTACTAAGGAAAAGAACTTCCACAACTTGATGTTGACATCACCATGCTTCACCATGAAGACGGTATTTTCAGGGCAATATGAACTGTTGCATTAGTGCTATACAGTGTTTTGCAGAAAGGCCAAAAAGTTGTATTTTGTTCCCATTGGAGAACCTTATTCTACGTATCTGCTGTGTCTCACAAATGCTTTTTTGCACAGGCCTTGATTTGGGCTTTTGCAAGCATGGCTTTCTTCCTGCCACTCTTCCATAAAGCCCATGGATAATAGTTATCCCATGAACAGTTTCTCTCATCTCCAGCTCCTTCAAAATTACCAATTAGTCTCTGGATATCTGCTCTGACAAATGCCTTTCCTACCTGGTCCCTGAGTTTTGGTGTGCAGCCTTCTGCAAGGCTCTGGAGTCAGCACATAATACCTTCAACTCTGAATCAAACTCCAACTCCTCAATTTATGGTACCTTTGACTCTGACTCCTTTATTTATATATCAATATAGGAAATAATTAGTATATTTATTTGAAAGTACTCAATCTACAAAACACTGCAAATGTCTTTTAAAATGTCAGAACCATGAAAACTACTAACTTCTGCAACACATGCTTTTTCACAATCATCATCTTCTATATATGTGCCTGCCCGCCCCTTAAATCTGGGGCAGACGCTTTTCTCCAGGTACCCTCCCTGAAGAAGATTAGGAGGGTGACCACCCAGAGAAGGGCCTTCTCTGTGGTGGCACCCCAATTCTGGAATTCGCTCCCCAGAGAGGTTTGCCTGGTACCATCACTTTATTCTTTTTAAATAAAGTTAAAACCTTTTTATTTTCCCAATGTTTAAAGGTCTGACTGTTTTAATTGGGGTTTTATTATTAGCTAAATTTAGGACTCTGTGTTTTAATTTTTTTTAACATTTTGTATTGTTAAACCATCCTGAAACTTCAGTAACGGGATGGTCTACAAAAGTTTTAAATAAATATAATATGATACATTGACACACATATTTCCCATCTGTTGCTTTTGTAAAGAGTTCAAAAACAATAAACTTTATTGACTTTTTCTTTGCCATTGTGAATTTTTTCATGGGGTGTCACTTTCACTAATATATGAAATTAAAATATATCCTGAAAATATAACCTAAAATAGGTTAATGAAATTATTATCTGTGAAATAGGAAAGTTTAACATATTATTTATATTACAATTTAAGTTTATTAGGAGTCAGAGTTGGCACATTTTTACTGACTCCAACTCCAACTGCAGTAACCAAATAGTTGTTTCCAACTCCAACACCACAGCCCTGTTCTCAAGACAGAGCTGCAGTTAAACTATATTCTTTCCATTTTTAATACTCAATTAATGGTGCTCTGGGGGAGGTTCACTGCTTGAGTTGGTTTGGTTTGGTTGGTCAGTTTTGCTTTGTTTTTATAACCCAACCCTGACTGGTACTTCTGTACAACTTAATCCTGGAATTGCTTTGGACTTCACGATGCAGTTCGTTTCGGAATGCTCTCCAACAAACAGACAACCATTTACAAAGAAGCAATTTATCATATAGTGCAAGTAACCACATGGCAAACTGTCTGGCTGCTGCACTCTTTGTACTGCATTACCAACATCTCTCTTACTAAACGGATACAAATACTGGATGTTAAGCTACTAAGTGTAAGCAAAAGGTAATTATTATGCAGTGAACGCCTAACCATTTCTACCCAAAGTAAGTGTCACTGAGTTTAATGGGTCTTGCTTCCAGATAAATGTGTACGAATGCCATCCTGCTACAGTGAACACCGGGGAGGGGGAGGGAAGGGGGGCGTTATTTCGGGGTAACTTAAAGACTAACAAAGATATCCTGGCACGAGTTTTTGAGAACGACATCCTACTTTTTCATTAAAAGTCTATAGAAGCATATGTCACAGTACACTTGCAATTCTTCGTGGTTTACACGGGTCAACAGTCATATTCATTTAGAGACAACAGCAGCCACACGTGAAATTCTCCCACTTTCTCAGCCATCTCAGCTATTCCCCGTGACAGGCAGCTTTAGCGTCGCGTTTAGTCTCCCCGCCTAATTACTATGTACTTATTTTAATCATGCCGAGCTCACCATATTCGCAGAGAAGAACCGGCTTCCTGGCGCACGTTTTAGCAGCACGTTTTCCCGGACCGTACGCAGGACGGACCCGGTCCAACCGCATAACCTGCCCGGTTGAACTCCACCGCTCCCGAGCACTCAGTTCCGCTGTCTTCAGCCAATGAGCTCAGACCGGCTGCTCCAGACTTCCGCCTTGACCGAGCTTCTGAGCCGCACGTGGGCCGGAGTCGGGCGGCCTTAGGTTGCGGGTTCGGTTCTGCTGTACGGAGAGGGCTGTGGTGGTGTGGGGTCCCCCTAAACGGGGAGAGCTTAGCCCTCCGTCGGCATCGCCTACGGGAGCACAGCGCAGGTTGCTATCGCAAGGAAAAGCGCGCTTTCGAAAGAGAATCAAATGGCTGGACGATTTTAAAAAAAGAAAAATTGGCGAATTTTATTCCGAAAAGCGAAAATGCCCCCCTCCCAAAAAGCCACTTCGTTTCTATATTTTTAACAAAGGTATTCTTTGCAAAAACAACAACATATGTGGGGAAGGGCCACATGACAGAAAAGGCAACCGAGCTCACAATGGCAGAGAAGACTAAGCCTACCCTGTAACCCACAAGTGCATAGGGCCTAGGGCTAGTCTAGTTGTCGTTATTTTCATTTCTATACCACTCATAGCTGAAGCTCTAGGTGATTTACAAAAGGTAGTTATTTTGGTACCTGCAGCAAATAATGCCATAAGTGACTCTTCCTCCCTGGAAGTAAAAATACAATATCATAAATAAATAACCATTCGCTACCTTTTTATGACCCCCTAAGCCTACCGCCTGTGAGAGCATCCTCATTCTGCTAAGCTGTGACTCCTTGCTTCCTGCCACAATGGGAGATTAAGGGGGAAATTCTATTTATTCCTAGACAGAAAAAAAAAGCCCTATAACTCACTGAGTTGTGGGAGTAGACATCCTATACATGTTTAGATTACTTGAGTAGACATGTATTGGACTGCTCTGTTAAAGATATGTATCAGTGATGGTCAACTGAAAACTCGCATCAGCTATAGCCAGCAGAACCGATGATCGGGGATCCTGTGAGATGTGGGGCTAAAGATTTGGAGGGCCTCAAGTTGCATACTTCTAATAAGTATTGTATTCTCTAACATTCAGGAAATTTAAAATACAATTTTGCATTTTACAGAGTCTAGAATTCTTTTCAAGGCCCATGATTTCTAGTCTCCATGTTCTCTAGCTTCAAAAGACAACCAAGATGATTGGGGAAAATGTGAAGGGCTTTACATAATGCTTACTCCAATGTCAAGGTTTTCAAAAAGTGTTTTTTTTTCCTAAATGGGAAGTTCAAGATGAGGAATGGATAATGACGTTTTTGCAGCCTCACCAGTCTTTCCCAATCTTATGGCCATCAGAGGAACAGGCTCCTGACTGTTACTGTTGCTTACAGTTTTTTGTTTTTTCTTCAATAAGAGCATTTTCACACTTCTTTTTCTCTCCAATAAAAGAACAGTTTATAATAACATTCAGAGCCAATATAAAGAATGAAACAATTGAAGTTTCAGTCATCCTCACCCAGCATGGTTTGGGTTAGGGTTAAGGTGGTTTCCACAGTGTATGTTTTTCGCCTGAATATGCCTGACAGATGATCATGTGGTTTCTAGGCTAGGGTGCTTTTCTGTCTTCTTACTCAGTCTTCCCACCATTGACACTCCATTACCCATCGCACCTGAAATATAATACTACACTGGATGGCTGGAGTAGCTCTTGCATCTGTTGTTCTTTCCTATTCATTCATTCATTCATTTATTTGGAGTGCTTGTATGCTGCCCCATTTGCATAAGACTCGGGGCGGCTTCCTACAAATAAATAACAATATACAAAATATACAGAATTGGAAACATCCCGGAGTTAGATAAAAGCAATAAATAATTTAACAATCAATTAAAATAACATTTAAATAAAAAGGTCTTGGCCTGGCACCGAAAAGCAAATAATGATGGTGCCAGGTGGACCTCTCTGGGGAGTGCATTCCACAGATGGAGTGCCACTGCAGAGAAGGCCCTCCTCCGGGTACTCACCCACCTAATTTCCTTCATGGAGGGTTCCCGGAGAAGAGCCTCTGCCGCCGATCTTAGAGGGTGGGTGGGCGAATATGGATGGAGGCGCTCCTTCAGGTACCCAGGTCCCAAGCCGTTTATGGCTTTATAGGTAAGCACCAGCACCTTGAATTGGGCCTGGACTTCAATGGGGAGCCGGTGAAGCTGGCTCTGGTAGCTGGTATAGACTCTGGTAGCTGCATACCAGGCCTGTAGAAACCACAATGCTTGGTTGCGATGACCAGAGAAACCATGATGAAGCATGGAAACCATAAAACAGACTGTTGTTTTATTGTGGTTTCTAAAACCCCAATGTACCAGGCTGAAACCACAACTGGACTCAGACAATATAACAGACCATGGCTTGATGAACTCACCCATGGTAATTTTGGAATCACAGATTACAAAGTTAAAACGTTTTCAGATAATTGCATACCTGTTCTGAGTGCACTTTGCTTTTATTACAATAATTGTATTCCTAGTACATTTTGTATAATATTTATTTTTTCAATTGCAGGAGTTCATTAGAAAGGAAGGAGGGTTCATTTCAAATTCTATTTGTTCCAAACATGCTCGGTTTAATAGACTGAAAACTACTTTGCAGTTAAATCAGTTATGAGTAGTAGGAGCAGTAATAAGTGTCTTGAGGATCTTGATCATGGAGAAAGAATGAGAAATTACTTATGATCCAAATAATGACATTACACTTATTTGAAATCTTAGTCAATATGCCTGTGTTGTCAGTCAATTGCTTGATTTGTTTCAGGAAATAAGCTTACAGCTTATTGCTACTGATTTAGACAAATTAAGAAGTTGTCCTCAACAGAGAAGATAGTAAGCCAGTACCAATTTAAGTTTTAATTATTTTTGAAATGACCACAATAACGCAGAATCAGCAATAGCGCTCAGTCATTGTCTAACCAAAACTATAAGATTTTTGTGTTACATGCAATAAACAAATGCCATTTACCAATGCAAGGCAGTTTTCATGAAAAGCTTCCAAGATGCACCAATCAAGAAAAGGTAGACAGGTATTTTTGCTATCTTTGGAGGTGGGGGTGAGAAGAACAACTACTATAAGCTCCTGATTTCACCCAAATACCATCAAGTTTTCTGCCACCTAGTGACTAAACCAAATAATGACATTAACCAGACAGCTGTCTAGCCAACAATTCTGTTCATTTCGAAAACATCAGTGGATATAAAATGGCAATTGCTATTGAGGCTGTCAGGCCATGCTATAATGGAGCAATAGCTCCCGGCAACAGATGCTGTTTGGTGTGGAGGGAGCAGCGCTTGCACACCCTGGCCGTTGCCTTTTGTTGGAGGACACAGTCATGTGTCCCAGGCAGCCAGGCAGCCTTCAGACAAGGTGGAAGATGCTGTTTGTTCTTTGCCTCAGACAGCAAAATGTCCTAATCTCACCCTGTGCAGCTGGTATGCTTGTACTTATGTCAAGGCCAATCTCTAACCCCATCATGGACAAAGAAGCCACTGCCATTTCTGCTGCTAAGCCTCTCTGCCCCACATTCTGCTTACAGAGTTATGTACTGGTACATGCATGGCACTGAGTTGGTGGAGAGAATGAAGCAGTATTCTGTCTCCAACATTTCAGGTCTACAAAGACCACAGAAACCAACATGAAGCCATGCTTGCCATATCAGTTTCTAAGGATATGGATTGGAGTGACTGTCAGGAAGGCCACCCAGGGAATTGATTAGCCTGTGGCAATCCCTGTGGGAAATGAAGGCTTTTGCCATCCTTCCTCTTTCTAACAGTTTCCACTGTAGTTCTGCCTTCTTTCATGAATTTTGTCTGGTTCTCCTCTCAACTTTGCCTTGCCTTTCTTTGCAGGGTTAGCCCTAGCAGGCAGAAAGAGACACTTCAGGTGACAGATGCTGGGAGGAAGCAGCAATATATGGAAGAACAAAGCTGTGGACCAGGGGACCTTCCCTGTACTCCCAAAATTAGCCTGCTTCATTCAGGTGTGGTGGAAGATGCTGTCTCATCACCAGTGTTGAAGAAACAGGCTAAGCAAGTATTGCACATGGGCTAGGAGAAGGTGCCATTATGTTCTTTGCCTCAGACAGAATGGGCTGATCATGTTTCTTGGGTATCATTTTCCTATATCCACATCCTATTCTTCATTGCTCTCAAAACATCTCTTGGCTAATGGCTTGATATGCCACGTATACTGTGGTAACTGATCTTAGCTCACTCAGATCTCACAATCTTTGGTCCTCGGGTAGACTTCTTAGTTCCTTGAAAGCTTACACATACTGTTCTAGTACTATGGTTGCTCCTAATATGGGTATGATCAATTAATTTGATCAGTGCCTCTGCACTTGTGCAAGTGCAGATTTTTTTGCACATTTTTTGCAAGTATTTGCACACATTGTAAGGGCCATTTTTAAAAAATGGTTCTCACCTACTGATAGTGCAAGAGTGGTATATTGGAGAGGCTGTCACTGGCTATAAAAACAGAGATCACAAACAGTGACTGTCAAGCTAGAAATTGCAATTTGGGGGATGGAGCAGGGTAAAATGGCAGAAGAGTCATGGTGAACCAAAGGGACTTATAATGTTGGTGTGGAACACCCAGTCAGTTCCTATCTACCTTGTGGGCAGCAGACACTAGCAGCAATACAGACAAGCTTGGCAAGAACAGCTGGGAAGGTTTGCTACACTTGTCAAGCAGCTTGCTGGCCATTTCCAGCACCCTGGATGGGATCACTTGCGTTTGGATTGCCCAACAATGTACTATGGATAAAACACCTCCAGAACAAGCCATGGTTGCCCACAAACAAGCTAGACGATAGGAAACGATCTGGGTTTGCATGACACAGCAACTCACCATAGATTCTCACCCTATAATGTCATGTAAATCCAGGCTCTCTGGCTGGCTCCTGAGAACTTCTCCAAAATGGAGGCCATTAAGGTCTTCAGCTGAAAGAGGTTCTATGTCACTGAGCTAGCTGGATCTTTGGGCAAATGGATTGTAGTAAGAAAACGTAACATGC